GTGTTCTAGGTAGAGAATACACAGAAGTGGTTTACCATTCCCCCCTTCTGGGGGCATCGAGGACTGAGCCTTGGTATGCCCCAGTTGTTACCTCCTCCTCACAGTTGGAGAAGGTAACACCCTCTGAATACGATTCTGTACTGTAATTATACAATTGTGTGCAATCAAGTCAATTCCAATTTATGACAACCGTTTCCAGGGTGTTCTAGGTAGAGAATACACAGAAGTGGTTTACCATTCCCCCCTTCTGGGGGCATTGTGGCTGTACAGCTTGCCCAAGGCTAAACACACTGGTTGTTCTCCTTTGAGGCACAGTGGAGAATCAAGCTCAGTCTCTTCAAGAAGATACAGTACTTAACTCACTGAGCTATCCAACCAGAAGAAGGGAATGGTTAACTGTTTCTCTATATTTTCTATCTAGGAAACCCTGTAAGTCAGAATGGACTTGATGGCAGTTTTTTGTGAGCCAGAAGAAAATGCCATGTATTTTGGTGTTTTCCCACTGGTAAGATGTGATAACATAACATTCAGGGATGTAGTGTTCTGTTTGTTCACTGAGACCAATTGTATGCTTGAACTCGAAGGTAATAGTCCATTCTAATTTCTAGGCATTTTGCCCTTGTGTTTCTGTGCTATTGCTACTGTTATTGAAGGAGAAGGTCTTTTCTAGGTGAGGATTATCTGTGACTTCCATTGCTTCTTTGCAGTACAGCTAAACTTCATGTGCTGCTTCCATTATTTTAAACAAAAGCTTCTTTTGCACAAAAGTTGGTTTCTTACTTAAATGTCTGTCTAATTGCCTCTCCAATTTCAATAAAAATAGGAGAAGGGATATTTTTCAGGCTTGCTGAAAGGACAACCTCCCGGTTTTCCCAAAGTATGGAAATTGTAGTGATGATCTGCTTTGGGCTGAGCGAGCAGCAGACTTGTCTAATCAACCTGTCTCCCACAGACAAATCTTCTCCATTCCTAAAGCCACCGATTGTATATTGTTGGTAAATATTAACTTCATTCTGTTTGCCAAAATAAAGAAAATATTTTTCTCTGTCTCCTTATTGCAAGAACAGGAGGTGCTCCCTGGGCATGAAATGATCTGTGCTGGTTTTCCGAGTACAGTGGATTCTCAACTTACAGACGGCTCCACTTACAGATTTTTCGAGTTACAGACTTATCTGGCCACAAAATTTAGGTTTGACTTGCAGCCGGAGAATCGAAAAATGGAACAAAAACGGCCAGTTACGGATTAATCGGTTTTCAATGCATTGTAGGTCAATGGAGCCTCGACCTACAGACTTTTTGACCTGCAGCCACTGTCCCAATATGGATTAATTCCGTATGTTGATGGTCCACTGTACCACAAGGAACCACTTTATAGCTGGGTCTTCTTCTAGGTTAGCAACTTATTCTGTAGCACACTTCTGATTATTCCCCTTTGTTATGATTATTCATATAGGCAAGGGTTAGATGTGCTCTGTGTCTAAACTCAACCTTGGTACATAGGAGGTGGGCCCTTTCTGAACGATTTATAAAATTGTCCCTCAATTATAAGTTGTTTTTGTAAGGCGTCAGATCAGTTGCTGTGTTTGTGGCATTTGGCATGAAACATTCATTTGAAAGATGCCTCCTTCTCACAAAAGTGTATCTGGACACTACCTCGACGGAAATTTGGAGAGTGTGTGTGTGTGTGTGCCTGATGAAAAGGCCTTCTGTCATCAGGAGGTTTCAGGCAGATAAGACAGACGCTCAAACAATTGTTAACAGTTGTATAAATGGGCCCACATAATTGTATGAATGGATTGTAGTTTCGGCTCTAAAGTTAGCAGCACTGGGCTGGGTCAGGATGCAAATAGATGGTAGGCTCGGAATTTCCATGTAGCAGAACTTGGAAAAACTATGGTCGGGACTGTGGAGACGTCTAATTCCCAGAGTCCCCCAGCTGGCATAGCCAGGCCATGTTGGATGGGGGATTCTGGAAGATGTGAACCCATGAAATGAGTTTTTCCAAATTCTGCATGTAGCTTTAAAAGATTCTGAGCTGCTTTTTAAGAAGGGTGCAAAATGTAGTAATTTTGGATTGGTGCATTTATTTATTTTCCTGATCAAGCAACCATTTGAATAAAATCCTTGCATACTGTTTCTTTTGAGATACAACCTGAACCAAATGACTTCCTCAAGGCTTAGTAAATGATTCTGATAAATTGTTATCTGACTGCATTAACACACAATCTTACATGGCGATGTAGTCTGTTCACCTTATCGTGATCCTTTTCCACTAGTTAGAGAACATGGAGTATAAGATGCCAAAAGAGAGCTACGGTAAATCTGAAGATCAGGGTCCAGAATGTCAATTTCTCTGCACCAAGACTACCCAAAACATTTTGTTCCTTGAGGAAGAGGAAATGCTGGTTCCCGTTTCCATTCCATGGACAAAGAACAACCAGACTGGCACTGTAATCTTTTTCAATGTGGGTGATTTGGTCCTCCATCACAACTGAAGGCAATACGCTAGCTTAGGAGGCTTAAGCCAAGCTGCATGGCCCACAGCTCTCTCCTTTAACATGTGGCTATTGTCTCCTGGTTTCCTCTGTCTAACGCAGTCATGGACAATCTCAGCCAAAGTCAGTGCCACCCACACCCCATAGCATACTAGACTGGGCCCAGAAATGGTTGGAAACAGATATTTTAATTAAACATGAGGTACTTGGGCAAGTACTTCTACTTCCTGGGGTGGGAGACTGGATAGCTAAGTCTTGGGCAGCTCGGCAAGACACCTGATCTTGGAAAAGTCAGGTGCTTTCTGGAGGCCTCTAGGAATGGAAATAAGCTATTTTTGTCCAATGAATTTTCCTTCCAGACTTTGGGGAATAAAACGTTTTTTTTAAAAATGCCTCTGTGTGTGCTCATGCTGGTCACCTGGCCAACTTAGTAGGGGATGGTTTTGCTATACACTGCAAAAAAAGTTTTCTTCTACAATATTCTGTTTTATCTCACCTGATTGACCTTTCTGGCAGTTATATGATTACTAAATGCACCAGAGATTTTTTTTCATATGCACTGAAAGGAGCAGGAGCAAAATCAAGAGATGTGCTTGTAAATCTAATTAGCACTTGGGCCAATGTGACCTTCATTTGCTGAACTGGACTTCAGACTTTGGCAAGGCTGTAATCAAAATATTTTATTTACATTTCATTATGTTTATAAACAAGAGCTTCCTTGCTCATTTCCACTTTGCTGACTTGATCAGAAGAGTCTGTACACAAACGTAAATCCAGGTAGTTTAATTCTGACCACTTGTCAGATTAAAAAAAAAAAAACAACACCACACACACTTTGATTTAAAGCAAAGCAATGTGGTTGGATCTACATTATGTCTCTGAAAGCAAAGCAATCCAAGCCACAGATCAACCCCTCACTCAAAACATTGCTGTATCTTTTTAGTGCCTTTAATTCTTCCTCAAGCATACATCGACTATAGCGTAAACCTGTGAGGCAAAATCCTGTTTGCATAACTTTCCACCTGCATAACTCTGACCAGGTGCAAGAAAGTTAATTTAAACCATTGAAAATTTTCTATCTACTCTCCATTTTCAGGTTGCAAAACTCTTTTGGGAAGACTCAAGATATGTGCAGGGGGAAGACTTTAACAATAAAAAAAAAATTGTCACCAGATCACTCCCAACAGTCTTTCTCTAAAACAGTTCTGTCTGGCCTTCCAAGGAAACTACGCTCACTCACAAAGGAGAGGGTGTTGCTATTGAGCCTGTCTTTCAAACAGACATCAGGCATTGGTGTCTGCTGAGAATTTCCCTCCCAGGTAATACACTCTACAGTCAAACATGTTCCATCAGGAACCAGGTTCTACTCAAGTTTGAAGGGAGACAGAAACCCCTAATGTTTACTTTGCAATTACCACTGCAAGATCACTGAAAAGAATGGGGAGTACAGTCTCACTTTGTTTCTACAGTGGCAAGATAAAATGGACAGCAGAGTCTTGTGCCTTTAGTAGCTGTGTAGAGAAGGAAATTGCTACAGGTGTGGCCTGCAAGAAGAGCTGCACCTGGTAAAAATGCCCGCTCCTACACAATTGTTAAAGGTACAGAAGCAGAGCCCTTCATTTTATGTCGCCATCCTAAATGGAAGCCAACCCTAAACATACAGTTCCTGTAACTCCATCTTATAATGAATCTCATCCTGAAGTGTGGAGACAACTGTATTTTCTCATTGATTCAATGGACCTGCTCTATTGTGATTTATTGTGCTAAGCAACAGAATTTTGGTTATTACATAGGTGAGCTCTTCTTAGTGCTTCATAGTAAGGATGTCCAGGAAAAGTCTTGAGCTTTATGGGATGTTGCTCCACCTCTGCTCCTCCTCCTCCAGATGAGATTTACTTTTGGTTTCTCCTTCCTCGCTTGGAATCATAATATGCCTTACAAAAAATTTAATCTAGATTGAACACAGAAGGTCTGCGAAGGGGGCTCTCCAGCCCATAGATGACCAGCAGGTGCATATTCCACCCTGTGGTTGCGCCAGAGTTGCACTAATACCCTTGATTCAGTCTGTTTCCACATATTTGTCCAAAAACAGTGCACACTGTCACTATCAAATCTCTCGCCTTGAGCTCCTTAGAGAAGACATGGAATGCTATTGTTCAAATAATCCTTTATGTTGCAAAAATGCTTGTTTGGCCTTCACTCTCCAGAGAATAAAAATGTTTCTTATATTATTAGATAAGGTCAAGGCTTTTGTTCAACGTGTTATCCACAGGGAACTTGACAAAATTACGTTTTGGACAACTCCCAGAAAGCCTTACCTCTCATAGCTGTTGGCTAGGGGATTCTGGGAGTTGTAGTCCAAAAAGCAACTCATCCACATTTATGGTAAATATGCTATTATGCCCCTTTAACTTTAAAATTCAAAAAGACCCATTTTTGTGCCTCTTGAACTTTAGGGTTTCACTCACTAGTGCTCTGGCCACTGCCTCACACACAGTCCTGTCTCAGTGTACACACACAATGGCACAAATAAACCCCTTGCCCTGCCTTCCAGAGTGCGGGCTGTTCTCTGGCCCCCCACTAAGAAGGTCCTACAGGAGGAAGCAGATCCGGGCAACATCAGCAGCTGCTTATCTCTGCTAGGATCTTGAGTCAGCAGGAGGAGGAAGAGAATAAGAGCAACGACCTAAGCTTCAGTAAAGCCACTGTCTCTTGCAACATCAACCACAGAGAGAGGACTTTTTGTACGCTGTAGCAGTAACCGCTTCTTCCACTTCATGAGTCGCTCATCACAGCAGTATCAATGGGAACTTGTGGCCTGGTTCTTATCTTTAAGTGTCTTCTGATGTTCCTGGACTTTGGGTGGCAAGGAGTAGGGAATCCCAGGGCAGAAGCGGCTCGGCTAAGAGAGTACTACATCGTGGCACAAGTTACTAGCTGGAACTATAGCTTGTCGGTGGAGGAGTTGTCCAGGTAACAAAATGTTGGGCCCAAGTGATGTAAAGGTGATATCATTGCAGGGCATTTTTCTGAGCATATAAAAGAGATTACATAGAGCAAGCCACTAAATAATTTCAATAATAAGTGGACGGTGATTTTTAAATTGTAGTGATGTTGCTGTTTTTCCCCCCGCATATGTTGACTCTTAATTTGGATGTTTGCTGTTTTCTGTAGCTGCTGTTTCCCTAATTTGGATGTTTTATGTGTCTATGTGTGTTAGTTACTATTTTTTTCTATCTGCTTTTCTCCTCTTAGCACTGTTACATCAAGTGTTACTTTTGTGTTTACAAGGAGCAGTTTCAGTTGTTGGTGAGAGCAGAAGTTAGGTGTACAACCTCACTCTCATGCTCTTAGTTGCTAAACTGTTGCTTTTCCCTGTGTTAAAAGTCTTTCCTGCTTTGCTGTTCCTTTTTAAAATTGTAGTTTGGGTGTATGTTGTTTGGATTTAAATTCACTTATTTTTTTTAACTGTATATATATTGTACAATACTTTGGACACACACATCGAACACAGGTGTGAAAAACACCTTTTAAAGTAATGAGCAAGGGAGCAGAATCAAGGAAAACTGTACTACTGGTTGTAAAAATTAGGCAACAGTCTTAAAGTCATAATAATATTTCCCCTTGCCATTCTCTTTCCACAAACAAGCTGCTCCAGACCCTTTCACTTTTTTGTGTATCATTCTCTCCAGCATTTGCTCTTTACTCCCAGTACTGTTTGCTGAAACTGTGTCAATATTCTGGCCATTTATCATCTACTTCTACAATGATCTCTCTTTCTTTTTTTCTCCTCTAGCCTGCCAGCTGCACAGGTGTCACATTGCACATTTAGTTTCATGGTTCTAGTCCTCTCTTTTAAAGTTCAGCATCTTTCACTTCTTTATGTATATGCTTAGTTTTGCTTCTTCCATTCCATTACCTTTATTTTCTCTTCTCATATTTGATTTCTGTGCTTTCTGTTATGCAGCTCTCAAGGTTGCCAACTTTGTTTTCTAAGAGGGCTCCCCCATCTTCAATGACAGTAAAACTGATTGTAATTAAACAGGGCTCACTTTTCCTAATTGTATTTTTCCTAATTTTTGTCTGTCACACAGAGATACTGAAAGTATAATAGCTTTCCCAGAAAAAACACACTAGGGCTCATTCTTCTTATGCCTAAGTACTGTACTCTAAACCTCTCTTTCTTCAAGGCTGACAACTGAGACAGCTTTTTTGGTGTGGGTTTTTTCGGCCCATGTGTTGCTTGATTTCCTATCCCCTTTCATTTTCAGTGGCTTGATTAGGAACAGCATCATACTCATTCTATGTACAGCAGTAATATATGTACTGTACTAAGGCAGTGGGGGAGAAAGTTGCAATATAATATTGGAACTACAATGGCGCAGTTCTAAGTTTGCAGCAGAATTAGGTGGTCAGCTAGGCTACATGAATCTTCTGGGGTGGGGATTCTGTTCTTCCTGCTTACACACTTTTTTCTAACCTGCAATATGTAGTATTATGAAAAGTATGATGTCTCCACACTCCAGGTTACTCTGGCTTTTCCATGAACATTTTGGCACAGGAAGCAGACAAGTGGAGAAACAGGGGCGATGAAAAATCACACACTGTATAATGTACTGTACATTCATCTGGGAGACCAAAGAGGAAGGAAAAGAAAAAGGGAATATATGGAATTCCTTGGTTGGATAGCAGTCATGTATCTTCTACTACATATAGTTTCAGCTTCAGATTGTTTGACAAATGTAAATATAATGGTTGTATTAGTGGTGAAATACTTCTATTTACTTACATGCATTTACAACACATGACAATTGTGAAAAAAATGGCTTAAAAACGGTAAGTAGTACTAGGTAATACATATACTTCAGCTGAGTGTTTATTTTTACATAGACCACCGTGCAAGAGGCATCCAGAAAGAAATGCAAAACTCTCTTAATCAGAAAGGATGTGTGGAATTGAAGTCTATTGGTCCTGTGCATTTCATTTTTGTCTCTCTCACTTTTAGGAATGTTTTGCTGGTTCATAGTTTTATTCTAACGAATACTGTAGATGCATGCCTTATTACTTAGTGCAGGATAAACTGTTTTGAAGACAGATGTGTAAATTATATTAAGGCAGTTCATATATGATTGGAAGGGGCATGTATGCAAACTGATTTTGTCTTTTGAAATGGCAGCCCAAATGGCTTCTATGAAGGGCATCCCATGCATCAGGTGCTGTGACTCACCAAGGGAACAAAAATGGTGTCGGATGTATTACTTAGAGGAAAGAATTCCAGAGACAGATTTCCACAAGGGAAAAAAAGCCATGTTGCCTTTTGTCAGATATTTCTGCTCATACATTGCCAGGATTAGGAGCATCTTAACTCAGAGACACTCTAAAACATGTTAAATATATCTGTTAGTTTTTGCAGGTGTGTTTTGACTTGTATAAGGTAATTCTATTATAAGATTTTTATACATTTTTCTCCCCTTATGAGCCACCATGTACAATAAGTTTACTCTAAGACTTCTTCTATTTCAGTCTGCCCAAATCAGATCCTCTGTTTAAGAAAATTATTTACACAGAATATGAAGCAGATTTCAAAACAGAAAAACCAAGGAATGGGCTGTCAGGTAAGGACAACAGTATTTTCAGAATGTCACAAGGTTAGTTTCCCAGTATAATTCCCCTGCGGTTATAATTGTAAATGAACAACTGTGTTGAATGTCACGTATTTATTTACAAATGTATTGCATCATCCTCTTTATTTTCTACATACACTGCCTTCCAAACTAGTCTGCAGGCATTTCAGTTTCAGTGCATTGGTACAGAACTGAAATTGGTCATGGCCCCCACCCTCAGTCTTCTATGCTCAAAGATAAGACACAAAAAGAAGAGTTTACAATGGCAGAACAGCACCCCTTACTTCACCCAACACCTTAAAATGAATGCAGCAATATCACACATAAACAAACATTGGGGGGGGGCACAATGTTAGCCAGGTGGGGTTGAGTATCTTGTCCATCTTGACCTTTGCATGTAAACCTTTTTCTTGATCATTCCACATTTATGTCAAGGAAACAGCTTTGTTGTTGTTCTCTTTCGTCTGCAATGGATAGCCAGGCATCTGACTTAGAACATTCCTAATGTTACAGAGACAGAGTTCTGACTCCTGTCCTCTGAAGATGCCGGCCACAGAGATTGGCGAAACATTAGGAAGAAAAACCTCCAGAACGCAGCCAAACAGCCTGGAAAACCCACAGCAACCAACATTGTCACTCCTATAAAGCCATCTCAGCTACATATTTATTTAATATTTATTTGTTTAAAATATTAAATATTTGCTTGAGAGCGCTGAAAAATATCTGCCAGTCAATCAAAGAAGATAATACTAGATAAATTGAGCTGAGAAAGGCAACTTTCTCTGTTCCTGATTCTGTCCTTTGTTGTTCATGAGTCTTCCCATCCCCCCAAAATAAGTGTGATGTAGTATGAAATACAGCAAGGATGGTCTAGGCCAGTGATGGCGAACCTATGGCGTGCATGCCACAGCTGGCACACAGAGCCTTCTCTGTGCGCACACTAGCCATAAGTCGCCATAGAGAAATACTTAACCATCCTCCGATCTCGGATTTCGGCACTCCCCTCTGCTGCTGCAGTGGTCCAGCGGAGGGGTGCAATGGCGACCATTACCGGTCTAGCCCAATGGGGGATTAGAGGACCAGTAAGTATTTCTTTGTTAATACTGCCCATAGGAGAAAATAAAAGACACAAGTATTTAACCCTTGCAGTGCAGGAGCAGTTGTTTTTTCTAAACTAAAAAACTCAGCATTTGGGTTTTAATTGCAGTATTGGCACTTTGAAATAAATAAGTTGATTTTGTGTTGCAGATTGGGCACTCGGGCTCAAAAAGGTTCACCATCACTGGTCTAGGCTGTACTGCCACCAAAAGCAGGAAATTAGCCCTACACCCATACTCTCATGTACTGCGGAGGGCAGCATTTCCCTTCCTTTGATAGAGGTATCAAAAGAGGTTCCCTCTCCAAAGGATAGAAAGGCCACCTCATCCAAGGAAAAAGAGAAGGAGGAAGACAAGCAAGAGAGTGGGAAGGAGAATAAAAGAAGTTGTACAGTGGCTTTGCACCTGCCATGGTGATGCAGACTGGGGTCCAGCATCCAGTACCATATGAAAAAGTGTAGGAGGCATCTATGGCAGGGGTATTTAGAAAACTTGCCAGCCATAGTTTATTCATTTCTATGCATGTGTTTGTCTTTCTTTTCTCTTTGTACCTTTGTTACCACCTTGTCTTCAGTAAGGAGGTAAGTCTTTTTTTGCCAACAAAGGCCATTTTGTATAGAGAAGTTTTTTTACTGACTGACTGACTTATTGACTGGTAGGACTTTTGGGACCAACACTTCGTGCAGAGGTGGGAGACACACTCGTCGTCCATTTTAAGAATCTGGCTAGCAAAGAACTGAACATTCATCTGCAGGGGATATTGTATACCAGATGGTCAAAAGGTAAGTGCTGTGATAATAGGCTTGGATATTTTGGTCATTTTCTACCTCAATCTAAAAGCCATTCTGTTGCTGCTCTGTACCATCACATGATTGCTGGTGTGATGAATGACCCCCAAAAGGTCCTGCTATTGACAGCCCTGCACATTTTTTGCAGATTTAAGGTCGTAGCTTTCTTTGTTGAGTCAGTGTTTCTCCTGCAGGATCTTCCTCTCTTCCTGTTGTAGCAGACCAATTAAATTAATACTGTATTATTTTTCCTCCTCATGTGTGATTCAGATGTTGTTATAATATGGGATGGAATATGTATTTGGTTTTTAAATGGATTGCTTTTTTAAAAGTCCATATTCCCATTCGTAGAAATGATGTGAGAAAATGTCATCTTGTTGATTCCGACAGTATACAGAACACTGGCTTTTTGATGAAATTTACATATAGCTCAATATGAACAAAGGGGAATAGGGTTACTATTGTATGTTTTTGACTCTGGGTTGTTCTTAGCTGGCAACAAAAATATAATATGCAAAGAAACACAGACATAAGCATGCTGAACTGTACACAGTGATCAAACACATATTAGGCGAACCCAGGTTTTCTTAGTCCAAAGGAGTTATTTTGATTAGAGATCCCAGATTCCCCAGTTAACAGTGGCAGTGCTGATTAGGGAATTATAGCAGTTGCAGTCCAAAAGTGTGTGTTATTTGGAGTTTAGAGACGACAGGTTGGGAAAGATTAAGTGTGCCTGTTTGTACACACACATAGACATGCGCTCACACACACCTATTGCCATTACCACCCCAACTACCCTTGTCATGAATTTCATTCTCCCAAAGGAGCTTTCCTTTTTTAAAAAAAAGTGTGCACATTTGCATATGCTAGCATCAAACATATTTTTACTGGTTGACTGATTTATATCTCACCTTTCTCCCAAAAACTGGAGCTCAAGGCAGCTCATAAGAGTTACTAAAAACAAGAGGCTCCCCTTTACATTCACCATTTCCTGGATAATAGTCAAGGAATGTGTTGAGAAATGGACTCTGAATATATATTAACTTGTTTCAATTTCTCTTCTTGCTAACTCTTGCCACTCAGACGGAAAAACACCTTTCTCAATTGTTGATTTCCAAAATTTGTATAGTGATGTATGAAATGACAGCAGGGATGAAATCAACAGTTTGGGCCCCAATAAAGTATGATGCTAAATTTCCAGCTGTATGTCTGTAGGAGATTCTCTCCCACTGTAAACTTCAGGTGGAGGGCATGAAAGGGTTGTTCTCGTTTTTTTAATGACTGTAGTATACAAAGAAGAGTAAGACTCACCAATCCTGTCCCCTACAATTCTGTACCTGATTGAGCCCTCCATCCTACAGCACTTGTTACCATCTATAAAAAGATCCATGCAGTTCAGTTGACCAGATGGGCGGGATATAAATACAATGAATGAATGAATGATTAAATTTAAGGTCATACATTCAGTGCCATGAGTAATTTGAGTGTTAATAGTTTGTGTTGGTTCCATTGAGATTTGTTCACTACATGAAAATGCTGGCACTATATTTTGCTCCACAATATCTAAGATTCGCTCAAGAATTTTGGCTTTCAGACAAAACAAACAGTAGGTCTGGAAAATTAAACAACAGTTGGTCGAGGTTTTTTTTTTAACTTCATTTTTTAGCTTTTTATTTTTATTGCTTCATTTGGCCAACACTTCCTAAAGCAAACTGAAATTTGAGCTTTGGTAGAAAAGAAAGGCTATCAGATAAGGATCACGGAGACAATGTTGATTTTCTGAGATCTGTGAACTTTGAATCTGGTCCATAGCTTTTATGTAGCAACAGACAGTTAGTCTGTCTCTGTGCATATTGTATTCACTTGGAGCAAGTGGTTTTCCTTTACTTGGAGCAAGTGGTTTTCCTTTACTGAATACTTAGGGAGATAGAATTCCCATGGATTGTGCAGCAGTAAGTGAAGAAGAAAGACCAGATGATACAATGCATGTGATCTATTTAACATCTTGGGGAACAGTCCTTATTTTCAAACATCTACTCCAGTTTTACCTTTGGGAGCGGTGCTGGGACACCTTTTCAACTAATTAGTAAAAGCTGCTTAATATATTTATTCTTGGTTCCAATTCTTGTTCTGTAGCTAAATGCCAACAGATCCATTTTGAAACAGAGGGCCAACGGACACACAAAGGTTTTATTCCCAGTAATTCAATCCTTTTGGAATCCTGGAATTAGACATGCAAAGGAAGCTGCTCACATTCAAGAGATAACCCAGAAGCTGATGTGCTTCTCCCTTTAAACGATTTTGACAATTACACTTTTTTCACCACTTGAAGGAACCTCCTCCTTGAATTACCGTAGTTTTTTCTGAATGTGTGTTTTGTCCTCTATATTTTATTGCAGGTTCTGAAGTTTTAAAAAGAAATAATAGTTGGCTGTTAATGTAGCTCTTCAGCAGTACAAAACAGCCACATATATCTGTAGCAAGCAGAGAAACCCCTGAGCAATACACAATTGTAGATAATGACTGTGAATGAATGTGTTTATGTGTGTTTACGTACACTCAAGAATATGCGTACACTTCTGCAGCAAATTTTGGTCTGGTAATGTAATGATAGATACGTAAACCCATGAACACTCACTCTGATATGTCAGTCCTTAAAGACTTTTGTTTAATATATGCAAGAGTTTTATTTATTCATAAGGGCATCCCTGTTATATGACTATTGTTTATTAAGGAAAGGTTTGTTAAGGAGTTCTTAGGGCAACTTCTCATCCTTTTGTCTCTCTTCTGTCACCGAAGATTCCTCATATTTTGATGGGATATCACAAACTGGAAGACTGGACAGTGCTGTTCCTCCAGGAAAGACATACAAATATGTGTGGGAGGTCACAACCGAAGCTGGACCTAGAGAAGCTGATCCTCCCTGTCTCACATACTCCTACTACTCTCACATAAACATGGTACAAGACTACAATTCAGGCCTTATTGGTCCCTTGCTGATATGCAAAGAAGGTAATAAAGTACCGAAATTTAGATAACTGTACGACATTCAGGTGCTGCTGGCTCCAGTTGGGGTTTACTGATAATTTGCTATCACCCTTCCATTCACACATGTATTCACAGTTGCTCATTTTACCCACCACAGCTCTTTGGTCTCTTTGGCAAAGTAGGCCCTTTTTTGACAGAACAGAATGTATCTTCTGAAAGGCTGTCACATAATGGTACAATTTGTCACCAAGTCTAATCATTAGACAGTACTTTAGAATTTATTTATTTATTTATTTATTTGCGTACCCCATTAGTGCAAAAGCACTATTCTGGGTGGTGAACAGTAAGTTAAAACCCATACCAAAACAAATAAAGATTTGAAAACTCACAATATAAAAACCAGACAGTACCGAAACAATTTACGGAAGTGGCAGGATAGGAGATGAACCAATTATCGACTTGAGTCAGTATGAAAGGCCTCCCTAAAAGGAAAGGTCTTGAGTTTTCTTTAGAGTACCAAAAGGGAAGGAGCCAGGTTTAGCTCCTCTGGGAGCTGATCCTATAAAGTTGGGGCCACCACAGAGAAGGCCCTGCCTATAGAAGCCTATATCATATATTGGAATTTGAGGCTGACCAAAAGATATTACTGGGATTATTTTCTCTGCGGCTGGAAAGAAAAGAACTGTTCTTTGGGAATGTGCACATTGTCTTCCTCCTCTTTCTCACTCCTAGTTGTGTTGATACTGATACTAAGACTTACAGCCTTTTTTTCCATAGGAAAAAAAATAAAGGTTGAGTACAATTACAGTAATATTAATAAATATATACCTTTAGTGAAACAAACCATTCACTGATGGCCCGGTACATTTTGCTGCCTGAACCATGGGCCAAATGACTTTCTCTTTCTCTCTCTTCTGAACATACAGACACCCTGCTAGGAACAAAGCTCAAATTAAGAAATTTTGAGTTAATGTAGATACCAATTGACACCTTCATTTACTGGTTATAAAGCCATTATTCATACAGTTCCTATCAAGATGTGTAGTGCACGGCTGGATGTACTGAATCAATTTGATGTGGTCTGAGGATGCGCACAGGGTATTTGGAGAGGTTTATCTAGCCACTTATGTTCACAACTCTGATCATTCTTGGCTAGTTAATTGTCTGGACCCAGTACTGGTGTGGATTAGGGCCAAAAAACTAAAGATGAATCATGACAAGACAGAAGTCCGTTAAGTCAGTAGTTTCTGAAGCTAGTGGGCGGTATATAAGTCCAAAAAAAAAAAGTCCGTTAAGTCAGTAGTTTCTGAATCTAGCGGTTTGTTGTACTATTCTTCTGATGAGATACACTAATTACTGAAGGGGCAGGTGGATGGTTTGAATCCAGTGTTGGCCAGAATCCTGTTAAAGATTTATGTGGGTACAAGTCAAACTGTGTAACTATGGCAGATTGCACAACATGCATGTTTCTAGTAATGCTAGACTTTCTAGTAATTCTAGACTGGCACCTTACTAGTTAAGCAGTAATTTGCCACAGTGACTTGCGCTATTTAACTTAATATATGGAAAAAATTAATAGGATCTACCCATTGTCTCTTGGGACCCTAGTGGCCCTGGTGTCTCACACCTGCTTTGATCACATCTGTCTGCTTGTCAGCCCATAGCCGTTGCCATCCATGCTTTAGTAATCTCCAGAGTGGGTTATGTAGTGCGTTATACATTGGGATGCCCTCAAAAAAAGTCTGGAGACTTTAAATAGTACAGAATACAACTGCCAGAAATCTGTCTGCTCTGCCAAATTGAGTCATGTTACTTCTCTATGCCTATAATCGTATTTCTGCTTTATTTTCTGTGCAGGAAGCTTGAATGAAGATGGGACACAGAAACTATTTGACAAGGAGTATGTGTTGATGTTTGGGGTATTTGATGAAAGCAAGAGCTGGCAAAAAGCACCTTCCCTCGTATACACAATAAACGGTTATGCCAATGGAACTCTGCCGGGTATTGCATAAGCTTGCCTTGACCAACATTAAGGTGATTTGTTAAAACGTCCGTTCCAATTAATACTCTTTGTTTTTCAGATGTACAGGCCTGTGCATATGATCGTATTAGTTGGCATTTAATGGGGATGAGTTCTGGCCCTGAACTTTTCTCCATCCATTTCAATGGACAGACCCTGGAACATAACCGGTACAAAGTCTCGACTGTCAACCTTGTTGGAGGTGCATCAGCAACAGCAAACATGTCTGTGAGCAAGACAGGAAGATGGTTAATATCCTCCCTTGTTGCTAAGCATCTGCAAGGCAAGGAGACCTTTGTTATACGATTGGTTTCACTTTTTGGCCATTAGTCTGTGGTGGGAAGTAGTGTATACATTTTTGTACAACTAAATATACATATTAAACAGGTAGTTGAACAACTGTAACAATGTCAAGATCTTTTTCTTGTATCAAGATCATAAAGAACTTTCAAAATAACATTGGAAGCATCGGGCAGGCAATGAGATGGCTAGAGAAAATATCTGGCATGAAAAAAATACAGTTTATTTGCAAGTTGACTTAAGTGGCACTAGCAATGTGACTCAAGACTCAACATGGGGGTTTCTGGGGAGATTTGTGATTTGACTTTGCAACTCAGACCCATTTATCCGAGTCGCGCTGTCAAGTCCCTATGGGCCTGCCACTGTGGCTGGTAACAATACATTTGAATAAGGGGTCAAACATAAGCTGATACCGTTCTAAGCAGTTTAATAATAGTTTTAATTAAATCAAAGTTTGCAACCTGTTTACCCCAAGGGTGATAAAGATTTGAGGTTGTACAGAACACACACACACATGTACACACGCACACATGCACTGTACCCACGCACATGCACACAAGCAATCCTTTTTCATCCCTGAGGGGCAAAGGAGAGCTTAAGCCAAATGTTTCCATGGGCCACATCAAGAATGTCAGTGTGCTGCTAGGGATGCCTTATTCTTCATTTTTACACCTTTACAGTGATGCATGGCTCACATATTCCCTTCTTCTGTGGATTAAAAAGGATGGCATTCTGAATACTTTGTGAATGGAGAAAAATTTTGTTTAGGCCTATTGGAAAATTAGAAATATAAAACACATAGCTTTATTGTAATGTAATATGGCTAAAAGACTATATGAATGGCCCTGAAAAATACATGTCTCTAAACATCTCACCTTCATCCAAACAGCATACCCAACATTAACTCTGTCCCCTCTCTCTTTCGAATCAGCTGGAATGCATGGTTATCTCAACGTAGAAGACTGTGGAAATCCAGACACATTAACAAGGAAACTGTCTTTCAAAGAACTGAGGATGATTAAGGACTGGGATTATTTCATTGCTGCAGAAGAAATAATATGGGATTATGCTCCAGATATTCCTGACACTGTTGACAGGTAATTTAGTGATATGTGGGTATGGGAATAGGGGAGGATATAGCTAGAAAATCAGTTTCCCAAGTTTTAAAAGTTTGTATTTCTGCTATTCTGGGCTTATTTAAATGCCAGGGTCCTGCCACATGGCAAAGCATTGGCAGTTAGCTGAGTGACCTGTGGTTAGCTGAGGGAGGTGGCTGGTGAGAGTTCAAAGGGAGCAGCAGTTACCGTATTTTTCGCACCATAAGACACACTTTCCCCCCCACAAAACAGGGGGGGTGGAAAGTCTGTGCGTCTTATGGAGCGAAGAAAACAGATTATATTTTCCTGCTTTCTTCTCCTAAAAAATTGGCACGTCTTATGGAAAGGTGCGTCTTATGGAGCGAAAAATACGGTATTTGGGAAAGTTTCTAAATATGTCCTATTAAATTTGAAGCCATGTTTGCTTTTAGATGTCGTGCTAAACCACAGTTTAGCAGAGAGTTTGTTTATTTATGGTATTTTCTTTGTGAGATTTCCCTTATACAAGCATAAATCACCAATAGGATTATAGCCAAAACAACTACCGTAGTTACATGTAATTATATTATAACTAGCTACTTATGAGAAGAGTGAATGGGAAGAATGAATTGCTATACTAGGTAAATGTTGATGTAGGTCAAAACTGCAGGAAGACAAAAAACAAAGAATATGAAAGTTTATTCGGCTTAAATGGTCAGTCTTTCCATTTCTATGTTGTTAGCTGCCTAAAGTGGTCCTGACCCAACCAGATAGGCGGGATATAAATAAAATAAATAAAAAATAAAAAATTCTAGGAGCAGTTTGGTTTGAATCAGATCTCACTCAAAAGCAAGTATATGGGAGAATCTCATGCCAATATCATTCTCTTGGCATGCTAGACTGTTGCAGATTGTTCTGGACACTCTCCTTCATTTACAGAAAAGGGTTCCTGCATATTGCAGAAATCATGTTTATTTAAATCAATAGTCAAATATATTTGCGCGGGGGGGCACTACATTTGGTCACTTGGTATGACATACAGAGACATGCACACCCAACATTAACTCTGTATTTGTGTCCCTTTGGATGTTATTGGATCCAAACTAACATGGCCAAGGGTCAATAATAATAACAACTCTGTGCCATCAAGTTGATTCTGACTTAGGGTGACACTTTCCAGGATTTCCTAGGTAGAGAATATATAGAAGTGGCTTACCATTCCCTTCCTCTGGGGGCACCCTTGGACTGTATGTCTTGCCCAAGGCCACACAGGTTGGCTCTTCTTCCCAGGAGGTCCACTGGGGAATCAACTCTGAACCCCTGACTTTGTAGCCAGATACCTAAACGACTGAGCAATCTGGCCAGCTGGTCAAGGGTCATGAATGATATAAACTGTAGCCCAACAGCAACCTGCCCTGTATCTGTGCCCACATAGCTGCCTTCCACACCTCTTAACTGGGGTATCTTTGAATTGCAAAAAGACATAATATTTATGTTCTCACATTTGTCAAAACAGACTTTTGTACCCACAGGGACTTCTGTTTCCTTTGCAAGAGTGTTATGGTTGCCAAGTCAGCAGTACTTCCCTCCCTGAAGTTGCAAGGCTAAAGCCTGAAACCCAAGCATGGGTCCCTGTGACACTGTGTAGCCAGGATGGGTAGTGTTCATTGCAGAATTCTGCACCCCATCTCCACCCTGCCTTTGTGCCATTGTTGGCAGGGTTTGTTTAAGAAGAATGCTCATGAATCACAGCAGTGGTGCTCCACTCCCTGCCTTGCTCCAAAAAGCCCAGAAGGCCCAACACTGTACATCAAACAGCCATGCATGAGGGGAAGGACTTGGGAAACAGCCTTTGGGCACATACTTTAAAGCCACCCCTACACAAAAATCAAATGATCTCCTCCTCCCAGCCGGTACCCTGAGATCTGCCCATTTCCCTCTGTTGAGGAAATTGTACACAGCTAGGCTATATTTACTGTAATCTTACTGTAATTTTTCTTTCTCTTTTCTTTTCTTTTCACTTTCAAAGAAAATATAAAGCTCAGTATCTCGAAAATTTTTCAAATCTCATTGGCAAGAAGTATAAGAAGGCCGTCTTCAGTCAATATAAAGATGAAAGTTTCAGCAAGCGCATAGACAATACTTGGAGTAAAGAACATGGCATTCTGGGCCCTGTAATCAGAGCTCAGGTCAGGGACAGAATAAAGGTAAGGAAAAAGTATGGGAAAACATAGCCTAAATGTAATCATTTAATTCCTTTATTTTATTATTTATTTAAACTATTTTTACCCTGCCTCTCCCCTTTTAAGGCATTCATACATAATGCTACAATGACTCTCACTCGCACGCTTTGTGTATGTCTAAAATTATCCATATCTTTACATTCAGTTGGATTCAAAATATGCTAGACATGTTCAGGTACAATTGAAATCTATGGCACTGGACTTAATCATCATTAGCTTTTCACATTGATTTCAATGTGACCCAATTGTAACTAACTTATATTCATTTCAAGCCCTTATGCTTCCTGTGTGGTTTTCTAGTTCTTCTGATAAAAGCTCCTTTGTATTGTTCATGTTGATCAGTACATCCTATAAGCCAATACAGTATTTCTTTGGTCTGACTCTGCAGTTCTTGACCTGTTAAGACCCTGTAAAACAATGTAGGGAGTGCCTACATGACCTCATATTGTCAGATTTCTGCTTTTGTTTAATGATAGGCAGAAAGGGAATGAAATTTGACTGTAGAGTTCACATTTCTCTGTTGCCTCCTATATTCTAAACCTTATCAAGCATCTGTGAGGCATCCTGAAATGGAAGGTGGAGGTCCACAAGGTCTCTAACATCCACCAGCTCTGTGATGTCATCATGGAGGACTGGAAGGGGACTCCAGTGGCAACCTGTGAAGCTCTGATGAACTCTATGCCCAAGAGGGTTAAGGCAGTGCTGGAAAATAATAGTGGCCAGACAAAATATTGACATTTTGTGCTCAATTTGGACACCTGAGACTTGTGACATTAATGGGTCTCATAACACCAGGGAAGGAAAACAGCTACTTGGGCCCAGTTTGGACATTGTCACTTAGGGGTGTACTCACTTTTGCTGCCAGCGGTTTAGACATTAAAGGCTGTGTATTGTGTTATTTTGAGGGGACAGCACATTTACACTGTTATACAAGCTGTCTACTCACTACTTTACATTGTAGCCAAGTGTCATTTCTTCAGTGTTGTTACGTGAAAAGATATACTAAAATATTGATGAAATGTGAGGGGGTGTACTCACTTCTGTGATATATTGTATGTTCTTATCACTAACAACATTTTAGCAGCTTCCATTAAGATCTGCAGTTGTCATTCCCCTACCCAACTGTTAAAAACATTTAGCAATCAATCACTTATAAGACCATCGCTCTGCTTAACCTACCAAAATCCTTTCCTCCCCCTACTCCCTATGTCTGTATATATATTTGCGTACTAAGGTGGCATGCCCCTGAAGAAGTTGGCTACAGTCCACAAAAGCTTATGCCAAGTAAAACATTGTAGACTTTAAGGTGCTATAATGCTCTTTGGGCAGAATGCTATGTGTTCCTTCAACTCTTGTTGAACAAGTGGTTTTACTATTTCTAAGCTTGGGCAAGAGATATCCAGCAATAGCAACTTGCACAGGCTTGGCAACTGTCCACGTGCCTGTGCCACAGGTATTGTGTGAGTGGAAGGAATGGACAGGATTTTGCCCTTTGTGGCTTTTGCTCCGAACACACTACCAAGGACTACCCCTCTGGCAGATTTCTGACACTGTAGCAATGCCTCTGCTCCATTTCTAGACACTTCTGAATGCATCATAAAGATGTTTTCCTACTCCTCCTTTCCTCCTCTTCTGTGAGGGCAAATGTTGCCCATAAAGAAGGTTAAATTAAAGCACTTAGTTTGTGCTGCATTTCTGAAATAATATGGGTTTATTTAATAGGCATCGACTACAGGTAAATGTGCAGTTTTCTTCCGTTACTTAAATGTAACATCCATAGTTCATCAGTGAAAGATACTGCTTGAGATGAGTTATATCTTTCACAGCTTCTACAAGAACTGAATAGAGACAGTACTTATAGTAGGAATGCAGGGAGTATTTCTTTGAACTTTTGGACAAGAGCTAATATTTCCCGCCTTCTTGACACTGCCATTTTTAAACTGGACAATTTTCTAGCAACATGATTTTAAGTGGAAGCTGTCAATGTCATGAATGTAAAACCTTGTTTGAATTTTTGTTTAATTTTAATTGCAATAAAGTGGAATGGGCTACTGTTAATCCAATGTTGGCAATGCCCTTGCTGTTTATTTCAGTAACAAATAACAAGATCTTCACTACCTGGGATAAAAATGAGTAATATGCAAGAATAATTGGTGTCACAAAACAACTGTAATAACACCAGCATTTTACTTTGATAACAATTTGTGCTTGGTGCTTAATAGTGCTGTATTTGAGTTCAAATGGTACTGTATATTTTTAATCATGTCTAGAAATTCCTCATTGTATTATTATAATAGATAGTTTTACATTTATATGTTGTTTGAGGCTTTTTTAGTAGAAAAGAAGGATAGTTTTAATAGTATAAAAATACACTATGAAGATTTTCTGCCTTGATCACTAATTTGTAGTGGAAAGGTGGAGTACAAATGTAATAATTATATTGTATTGTGTTGCGTTGCATTGTGATTGGTATTTATATGGCAAATACATATCCTCTCTCTTTGCATTTAAACAGATTGTATTCAAAAATATGGCTAGTCGACCATACAGTATTTATGTACATGGAGTTACACTTTCAAAGGATGCAGAAGGAGCTGTTTATCCTTCAGATTCCAAAGGTTAGATATTTATTATTTCTAGCATGATTTCTTCCTGACTTTTTTGTATCACACAGTTATAGTTATTGCAATGGTATTTTAGCAGTCTCAGTGAGACAGCTGGTCACTTTGTTATATAGCACAGTGGTCCCCAACCTTGGGCCTCCAGATGTTCTTGGACTTCAACTCCCAGAAATCCTGGCCAGCAGAGGTGGTGGTGAAGGCCTCTGGGAGTTGTAGTCCAAGAATATCTGGCGACCCAAGGTTGGGGACCACTGATATAGCAGATTAAAAAGGAAAAGAAAAATAGAAATCTTTTTAAAAGGCTTTTGAACAAACTAACCATTCATTATAAAGTAAGTCATATAATACGCACGAGAAGTAGAAGATATTAACAGAACAATTAAAGAAATGATGTTAATGGAGCTGGAGCTGATATAAAAAAGAGAGTTTGACTAATTAGTTTTCACACTGCAGTATTTCTTACCTTTTGTAGGATAAAAGGAATGCCATATATAGATTCACACATTGTTCCAGAAAAAAACAGAACGTGTTAGAGCTATAGGAGGAAAGAGTATATAACCTTCAGGATCTGAATGAGTTTTAGATATCATAGGATGATGAATGAAGTGATAAAATAAGTTAATAAAGACCACAAAATCTTAAGTGTGTAAAATGCAAAAAGCTAGAATAGATGTAATGAGAAATGGAAAGTATATATTTAATTCTACTCCTGCTGCCAGAAGTTCAGTTGTGCAAACCTTAATAGTGAATTGCTGCCAGTTAAGAGTTTGAAGCTTGTATTTCTTCTCACATGCTAACTCACACAACTGGCATGTGATCGTGGATGTAGTTGCTAACTTCTCAATTCATTGCTGAGATTTGTGCTGTTGAACTGACAGAGTGTGGATTATGGGTAAAGTTGCATCTGATTCTTCATTATAAAATGAATGGTAAAATAAGTGTACAAAGGAGAAGAACTTACTGGCTGAAGAACCATAGGGATTAGTTGAGATGCAGCTGTTTACAGCTGTTGTATCAAACTCAAAATGATCATGGTGGTATCTAGCCACCAGGAGGAGAAAAACAAAAAGGAAAGGATGGTATTTATGCTATACAGAATAAATGCCTTCTCTGGGTTGCTCATGCTGTTGTTCCATTTATGCTTACTTCAGAGAACATCACTGAAGGTAAAGCAGTCCAACCAGGGGAAATCTACATATATGAATGGACCGTACATGACACAGATGAACCCTCAGCAAAGGATGCCCAATGCATTACCAGATTATATCACAGTGCTGTAGATGTCACAAGGGATATCGCCTCAGGGCTAATTGGGCCACTTCTGATTTGTAAACGCAAGGCACTTGACAAAAAGGGGATACAGGTACTGTAAACAATTGAAAACTGAGAGAGATTATAGCCGCATGTTACTTCCAGTTCATGGATAGTTGCTTCAAAGACTGCTGTCATATTCACACTTACCTGGGAGTCTCTCCCACTGAACCCAATAAGTTTTCCTTCCTTTTGATTATATCTATAGGCTTGCATAATCATGGTTGCTGAGAAACAGTGGGAGAGATATGTGTGGCTCTGCCTCCTTATGTTCTGGTTGTGAGCTTCCCATAGGCTTCTGGTTGGTCATAAGGCTTTGATCAAACAAGGCTGTTCCTGAACGCAAAACAGAAGACATTAGCAGAACAAAGAATGCTGTTAATGCAGTTGAAGGAGGTGGAAAAGAGAGGGCTTGACTAGTTATTTTCCACAATATGGCTACAGTAGTAGAGACATGGAACATGGTCCCACCTAGCATTGTTCATTGGACACTTTGGGTCAGATCATGGTGATCCTGAGTCCATTCATGGATGTCATTGAAGCTTTGAGTGGAGCCACAGTGAGACTGTTACATGTCTTGACCTCTTCAATGTCTTGACAATGATGTGAATCGATTCTCCCTTAAATAGTGAAAGACCTCTGCTTTCTCTCACCTTTGTATTTCACTTTTCTGCATTTTTTTGGTTTCTGATTGGTTACTGGAAGGTGAGCATGGACTTAATTTGCAAGTTTAACTGCTGAGACTACCATCTCTGAGGAACCTGTATTGTGAAGAAAAATGGGCAAATAGCAAGGGCCAGTTTGTGCCCCAGGCAGCCTCTCCAGAAAGATTCTATCCATCCTCAGGAATCTTGGTATGCTTGTCAGGATGAAGAGAGTGAAGGTCTCTAGTGAACTATCAGAAGCTATGACACATATTTATGTTTTTACAGAATAAAGCTGATGAAGAGCAACATGCAGTTTTTACAGTGTTTGATGAGAACCAGAGCTGGTACTTAGAGGACAATATCAAGGAATATAGCGGCAGTCCCTCCACTGTTAAGAAAGATGACCCCAAATTCTACAGGTCTAATGTCATGCACAGTGAGTCACCAGATCCATGATTTCACAAACTGTACAAGGGTCCAACATGTTAAATTTTAAATGTTGCTGTAAAATCCTGCACAGCATTACTTTAGACCGCATGGGGGGAAGGATGATATTGTTATGTGTTTGCTATCTTTGCTTTGAAGGATTTAAAGATTTTGACAAGAGTTTAAATTCCCAGAAGCCAACACCATTAGCTGTGCTGGCCAGGACCTTTGGGTTGTTGTAGTCCAAGAACATCTGGGGATCACTGGGTTTGTTGTAGTCCAAGAACATCTGGGAATCACTGGTTTAAACTGAGCAAAATGACTGTTTAATATTTCCTAAGCAGAATGGAAATTATATGCAGATTGTGTATTTTTAACTGGAAACATATATATGACACAAAGATGACATATTTTTGAATGTTCTCCTCCATTTGTAAAGCAAAAATAAAAACAAAAAGCAACTCCTTGAATGAAGTAAATTAATGCATCACAAAGAGCAATTTATAACCTTCTTTGTTGCATACAAGGAGCTCTTATGTCCAGGAGCATAAAATTGACAATTTCACCCTAAAGTGACAGAATCCAGAAATGCTATGTTCCTTTCTATGTAAATTGCAGAATACCTGTTGCATGGAATCCTATTATATGCTGTAATTATCCTGACATAATTCCATTAACATAAGATCTGGAGGCAAATTGCCAAAGGTTAAGAAATGTCAGCATGTACTATTGCACACTGAGTCATGCAACTAGTGTGTAATAAGAAAATGCCTATTCTGATTTCTTAATTTGTAGCAATTTACCATTGAAATGTACACCATGTACATCTATGTAGTTATACTGGTGGGTATAACTAATAGGATTTTGACAGCAGTGCCAAGGTTTGGCAACATGTTTTTGGATTCCAGCTCTCTTCAGCTCTAGCCAGGAAGCCAATGAGAATGATGAAAATTCAAATTCAAAATTTTAATGCATTTCCCATGTCTGCTCTATATGAAAAATCCTTCATTTCTTATGCATTGAGATCTCAACTTTTTATAATGTTCATGAAATTAGAGGCATTTTTAGGCGTCCTCTTTTTAACATGTATTTGTGGGGGAATCTCATGAAAATCAATGAAAATTTCTTCTGAATAGGAGTGCAAAGGACAGTTTTGTTAACTGTATTTTTCTTTTAAATTTTAGCCATCAATGGCTATGCATCTGATAGAACCGACATCTTGGGATTTTGTCAGTCTGAGATTGTTGAATGGCACCTTGCCAGTGTAGGTATTCAGGATGAGATAGTGCCTGTACATCTCTCTGGTCACACTTTCCTAAGCAGAAGAAAAGAACAAGATATTTTAAATCTTTTCCCCATGAGTGGTGAATCAGCTACTGTAACCATGGACAACATTGGTAAGTGAGAGGGCAGTGATCCCCAACCTTTTTGGCTCCGCCCACTGGTTTATGGCACGTGCAGGGGAGGCATGCATGCATCCGTGTGTGCATGTGGGGGGCATGCATGTGGGGGCAGTGGGAGATCTGTCTCCGTGGCCCAGTCCTGCCAAGGCCACGGACCAGTACCAGGCCATTGGGGACCCCTGTGATAGGGCTATAGCTGATTATATATTTGTTTAATTATTTGCAGTATTTATAATTCTCATTACAATTAGATCCTGAGGTCAGATTGTACTAAGCTTACAAACAAGTCTGACAGTAGAAAAATACAGTAGAAAAATAAACAAACCATAAAAGTTATGAAATTTCATTTAGTCCATCTCAGTAGAACTTTGACCAGGAGAGCTGAAGAAGATATTCCCTAGGGCTTTTCTAGGCAGGGTACAAGTTCCCTTATACACAAACACCCCATTATCCTGGCTTGCCCCCGTTTGTCTTACCAGTATTTTTGCCTACACTGTTTACACACTGTCTTGGGCTAGTGCTGCATGAGACACCCAATGAAGCTGTTTTCTTACCCATCTCCCTAGTCAACAACAGAGGCCAAATATCTCTTGAGGGGATAGATACAATGAGCTGCTGCTTATGCCAGTATACCTGAAGGGACAATTAACACAAGTGAATTCTACCCAAGCAATGGTGGTAACAGAAACCCAATTCCGGCCCAACTCCTGTTTTGTATCATCAGAACAACTGTGCTATACAACCAGCTCCCAGTACTAAGTATCTGGCTGTGGAGCCAGAGATTGGGAGTAAAAGAGTACACACTATTTTCTGGGAGTGTAGGTCTCCTTTTTTTTAAAATCACATTCTCTGCACATCTTGTTTTAACTTAGAAAAGCCCATATATATTGAAAAGTGCACCTAACTTAGCAGAAGCAGTGAGGAGCATGGAAATGGACCGGGGACTGTATGAAGCCTCTTTGCCGTGTATTGCCCACTATGCTCTATACAACCTGATTTCTTTTGCATTATTAGGAACCTGGCTGCTATCATCATGGGGCTCCCGGGAAATGAACAATGGCATGAGGCTAAGATTTAGAGATGCCAAATGTGATAAGGATTATGAGGGAGAAAATGAAGATGACTTTGATGAAGAAGAAGATGATGTTTCTGTTAGTTATGTAAATGTTGTCAAATTTGCCCCTGAGAAGGCTCAGCTATCGAAAGGGAAAGAAAAAGAGAACAGAGGAGTAGTAGTGGATGATTCTCAAGAACGAAAGGCAGCAGAACTAGGATTTTTAGATGAAGAAAATAAGAAAGAACAGTCAAGTGAGCTGAATGGTGTGTCTGTTGAAGAAGAAGAAGATGAAGAACAGCGAATGTTTGCTGCAATGCTAGGACTTCGATCATTTAATGGGTCAGATACCAAGGAAGAAGAGCTCAATCTCACTGCTATTGCTGTCGAAGAAGAGGTGTACAGCATCAGGTCTGATGGCGATGGTTTTTTAAATAATGATTCATCTGGGAACTCTCACCAGGAGTTCACAAATAACAGTGATCCTTCACATGGTGATAGACTGCAAGAAATTCTAAGTACAACATCTTACCCAACTTCAGTTGAATCCTTCCTTCCCAACACATCTTTGTCAGGAGAAATTTCATTTTCAGATATCACAGGGGCCGTTAGTACCTTGTCATCTCAACAAAGCCAAGATGACCATGAGGACAATGCTACTCAGACCTCAGGCATTTACACACAAACACTAGAGCCTCAATATTTGAGAACAAATGAGACTGTCCAGAGCAAAATTGAAGTGAAATTGGTCAGCACCAATGCTCCCTTTCTGGAGAAAGAAGAAACTGAAACTGAAAGGGATACTTCTGAGGGGAGGCGTGAAAAACGAATTCTGTCAGAGGCCACACTGTTTGCCCTTAAAGAGATGTGTGCCCTGCTGCTTCATGTACAACAAAAGGGAAATCTTTCTACTTTAGACAACACCACTTCAAAGATTCAATTTCGTGCCATTCCTACTGAAGAAGATGCCCTCAGCTTAAATAATGTAGAAACTGATGACTTTTTATATGATTATGAAGATGATAAAGAGGAAGAAATGACAGAGCCTTCCTGGTTATCAACTAACTTAACTCTAGTAATGGAAGAGATGGTGGAAGTTAATGGTTCTGACCCACAGCATGTTCCTGAACTGGCGTTCTCAAGAACTGAAAAGTATGACAATTTGACCCTGGATAGTCTATTAGGCAGCTTTGTTTCTCCTCCCATCCCAAAAGCTGTCAAGAACATGACAGGATCACCTCGTCAACGACCAAAGTGTCCCCCTAAAAAGACAGTTTATGAATGGAATGCTGTCTCTGAGAAGACAAATGATGAGACACAAGCAAGTTTCACTAAAGATGCTCACAATGAATTGCAGAACAACTCCCAAAATGCCACAATGTTTCCAGAAAATACCACATTAAGTAGTAAAAGGAACCTGGAGTTATATAAAAATGATTCCCCATTTGAAATAGGCCAACCAGAAATAAGCAAAAAACATGAGGCTCTGAATGAAAAAAGAAATGAAAACTGCACTATCAAGACATCTGGGACTTTCATAAAAGCCCGACGCAAGACAAAACCCTCAAGAGTTCTAACAGCAAGAACATCCAAACCTCTCATGACACCTAGAGGGTTCAGCCAGACCTCAGTGGCCACTGAGGCTAAGGATACAATGCCGCTAAATGAGACCAATGACACTCACCCTCAAAACCAAGTTAAACCAGTTGTTACAATAGGCCTTCCCATTGAAAATGGAGACTATCAGGAATATGTCCTAGACAACGTAGAATATGAAGACAGTAGCAGTGATTCATATGAATTTCAAACTGTCTACTATGACAACCCCTATACCGGAGATTCCCGACTTGACCCTACTACCGTGCGTGACCCGGATGATATAGCCGGACGCTATCTGCGTGCTTTGAAGAAAGGAGGAAATGTGAGAAGATACTACATTGCAGCTGAGGAGATTTTCTGGGACTATGCAGCACATAGAAAAAGGTTTGATGGAATTATTTCTCTTTAATCATAACCCATAACAGGCTCCATTCAACACACTGTTTGTTCAAACCTATACATTTATACTCATCATTAATTCCTGCTGAATTCCATTCGGTTTGCTCTCAGGTTGCAGCCTTAGCCTTAAAATATATATTTGTTCTTATTCATGGGCTGTTAATTAAGGTTTGAACTGTATCTTGTGATAGGAATGAAGGACGCCTAGTTTTAGCAGAAAAGAGAACAACAAAAGTATGGAAATTCCAGAGATACAGTTAAATATATAGAGAAAGTGCCTTATAGAAGGTTGACAATGGAACAGATTGTCTGATGAGATGTGAAGCTCTTCTGCACCTAGTATGTTTTAGCAGAAGATGGATGACTGTTTGCTAGGGATGGTACAATTGCCAGTTTCTTACAGTGAGCAGAGGGTTTGGATCTTCAGGGTCTCTTTCAATCCTAAATTGTTATGATATGATTAAATGTTGTCAGTGTAGCTTAGTTAGTTGAGTACTCTGGCTGCAAAGCTAGAGGCTGAGAGTTTGATTTCCCCACTGGCCTTGCACGAGAAAAGCTAGCTTGTGTAATCTTGGGAAAGTAGTGTAGTTCCAGGATACCTCCAGAAGAAGGGAATGGTGGACCACTCTGAGTACTTTCTAAGTAGAAAAACCCAGAAAGGGTTGCTGGAATGGATTTTATGACATTTTATTTATTTATTTAGAAAGTGTGGCTGCTGTTATAAATATGCTTACTAGCGAGTAAGTCTAATTATCTTAGATAATCATCATCATAGAACTGCAGAGCTGAAAGGGACCCTATGGATATCATCTGGTCCAGCCCTTGTCAAGGAGACAGTGTGGAATCAAATTCCTAACCTCTGACTCAGAAGCCAGAAACCAAAAACCACTGAGCCATCTGGCAGTTTTCCTATAGAACACAATGGGGCTTACTACCAAGCAGTATGCATAGGACTCTGCTGTAAGCAGTATTACATTTAATTTTTTTGATAACTACAGGAATTAGCATCATAATTAATGAATAATATTAATAGGAGTCCTTTATTTCATTAATCATCTCTACTAATTTTATTCTTTGTTAACCTCTGGAATTTCTTGGCAAAAACCCATAAAATTTTTATATTCCATGCTTTAGAAAGAAAAAAACGGTGAACTAAACTGTTGCCTTTGGTTGTGATCCGGAAAGATGGGGGGGCTTATGATCTCTGCACAACTAGCCTGGGTTTTCATGGCCATGTTTTCCCAAGAGCAACTCCTCTGCTAGACATAAGTTCCAACTTATGAAAGAGAAGAATCTTCAGAAGAAGTCTGATAAGGCAGGGAGCCTGTTGTTCAAAAACAGAATGTCAAAAGTTAAATTATGTGTGCCCAAGCTGCTGGACATATCTAGAGGAGCTCATGGAAATCTGGTGTGACTTTTAATACAGGATCAAATAATCAACTTGAGTGCTGTGATTCTTCCATGGTTTCAATGCTTCCCAGACCAACTTTCTAATGTTTTTTGGTTATTGTTGTAAATAGCTTACCAATATATACAGTGGTGCCCCGCATAACGATTATAATCCGTTCCGGGAAAATCGCTGTTAAGCAAAATCATCATCATGTGAAAACAGTTTCCCCATTGGAATGCATTGAACTCCGTTTAATGCGTTCCAATGGGGAAAATACCTCATCGTCCAGCGAAGATCGCCCATAGGGCAGTCATTTTGCGAGCGCCGATTAGCTGTTAAAATGGCTGTCCTGCAAGGCATGGGTCCGGAAAACAGAGGGATGCCATTTTAGGAAGCTGACGATCAGCTGTAAAAATCATCGTCTTGCGAATAGACGGTCCGTGAAGCACAGACCAAATCATCGTCGAGCAGAAATCCCCCATAGGAATGACTGTTTTGCGAATCGCTATAGCGATCTCAAAAAGTCATCGTTATGCAGATTAGTCATTTAGCGGGGTCGTCTAGCGAGGTACCACTGTATTTAAATTCAGTATTTCTTCTCCCAATGCTTCCATTTCTCAGTACAGCAAGAAGTGGTCAATCCAGGACAGTGTATAAAAAAGTAGTTTTCCGAAGTTATAAAGATGATACTTTCATGATACCTAATACTGGAGGAGAATATGAAGAACACCTTGGCATCCTTGGTCCTGTCATTAGAGCAGAAGTGGAGGATGTAATTCAAGTAAGCCCATTTTCTCAGTATTTGAACAATTACAGGATCCTAGATTATGTAGAAAAACTTAAAATGAAGAATATGTCAGCTGCACAAGATGGTTTGGTTTTGGTGTGAGTGAGATCATCATCATCTTTAAAAGCTTTTATATCTTTTGTTTAAATTCTGAAATGGGACTTGTATATATCTGTGGAATTTACAGTAAAACATTATAATGAGGACATGAATTACTCCTGTTCAGGATGTTGATCTCATGGCAAATCTGAGTTTGAATTTGCACTTTTGCAAGCCAGTGTTCAAGTGAAAGAGGCAAGACAGAACTGAAATGGAAATAAATAAATTTATTTATTAGTAGAATTAATTACTGTTCCTTCAACTTGCTAGGTTCAATTTAAAAATTTGGCCTCCAGGACATATTCCCTCCATGCCCATGGGCTTTACTATGAGAAGTCTTCAGAAGGCAGAAGTTATAATGATCAGTCTCCAGAATGGTTCAGAATGGATGATGCCATCCTGCCAAATCACACCTATACGTATGTCTGGCATGCAACGAAACGGTCAGGCCCTGCAGCAAATCAGAAAGTATGTAAATCATGGGCCTACTACTCTGCAGTAAACCCGGTAAGACAGCTCAAATACTGAGATATTTTTAAAAATATAGTGATATAGCGCAGTTCTCTACGTAACAAATGAGAGTCCTTCTGAGGGGCCTACCTTAACTCTCTTTGTGGGAGAAAGGTGGGGTACAAATGAAAAAATGAAGTTTCTTTGAAACTTAGGGAAAAATATATTAGCTAATTTGACTTTTAGTTTTATATGAATTCTGATTTGCAGATACAGTACCGTATTTTTCTGTATATATGATACTTTTATCTGAAATCTTTAGACTGAAAATTGAGGGTTGTTGTCTTATACAGTACATGGAAGTAAGGGAGGAAAGGGCTCTAAGCACTGCAGGAACGCAGCCCTTTGATCGCTGCTTCCCCCCTCCACTTCCTAAGCTCCGCGGGGCTTATGAAGTGGCAGTGAAAGCAGTGATGAAAATGCTGCAGGATGAAAGGGCTGCGATCCTGCTGCCCTTTCATCGCTGGTTTTCCCTTCCACTTCCTAAGATCGCTGCTTTCCCCCTCCACTTCCACAGCCCTTTGATTCTGCTTTCATGGGGCTTAGGAAGTGGAGAGGGAAAGCAGTGATCACATTTTCTAATTTGGGGTTAGAAAAGTGGGGGTTGTCTTATACACCGAAAAATACAGTATATGTTCCTTTTGAGTTTTTCTGTGAATGGAATGGGGACGAGGTGGGGTTTGAGCATGGTATAATTTCCAGTATGCTTTGGTAACGGATCTCCATAAAAATCGATCAGACTGATGTTTTCCACTAAAGTGCTTTAAAGAATAGCAATTGGTTTATCCAAGGAACTAGTCTGGGGATACCTGTTTTCCTGTCATTAATTATTTTGCAGGAGAAAGATATTAACTCTGGTTTGATTGGGCCAATCTTGATCTGTCAAAAAGGAATGCTTGACGAGTATAACAGGCCAATAGACATGCGAGAATTTGTCCTGTTCTTTATGGTCTTTGACGAGGAGAAAAGCTGGTACTTTAATAAACATGACAAGAAAACTCTTGCTGAGAGGTCCACCAGAGCCCAGCAGCACCACATATTTCCTGGTATAAATGTTTACCTTCTAGACATTTTCCTTCATCTGCTAAATGCTGCTAGTTTTGAAAAGTAACTTAAATGAAAAATTGCACAGATGTATATATACTAGTGTTAAGCTTCTGAAGACACAAAGTACACACATGTAGCATTATTGCCCGTTTATCTCTAATTTCCCATGGAATTATTTAATTGTCATATGTTACATATATAGCATATATGCTACATGTATTTTTAATTTGATTTCTGCTATGAAGATTCTTATCTTAATTATGGTATTGAATCTGAATACTGTATTTTTGTATATTAAGACTCTGAAGAATTCAGCAATTATAAAAATTTCAGCAACCCTTTAATGTATGAAATATGCGTCAAAATCTTAATTTTAAAAGAATACTGAAGGATGTTCTCACAGCTTCCCTAATTTATAATCACATTCTCTTCTCAGCAATTAATGGAGTCCCATACCAGCTGCAGGGACTGCGGATGTATAAAGATGAGGAGGTCCATTGGCATTTGTTGAACATGGGTGGGCCAAAAGACATTCATGTCATCCACTTTCATGGTCATACATTTGTTGAACAGGGAATGGAAGATCATCAACTTGGTGTCTACCCTCTTCTTCCTGGTAAATATAGCCAGAGAGATTACAATAATTAAATCTCAAAGCTGAATACAGTCCTCATGTGTTTCCCTTTTGCTCTCAAGGCTCATTCACCACTGTTGAAATGAAACCATCAAAAATTGGCACATGGCTTTTGGAAACAGAAGTCAGTGAATACCAGGAGGCAGGAATGCAGGCCTTTTTTACTGTCATAGATAAAGGTAATGGAAGTTAACTATCATGACTCTTAAAAAGTATATTTATCTGCCTGGTTGAAATGCAGATGTGTGGGCTGAGTATATGGCCCTTCCACTCATTCATTGTCTTTTTCTGTTTTGAGGTGGCATTGATGGATTTCCAAAAGATGCTAGGAGCATGTCAGCCATTTTTATATCCTTATAGTATTTTCTAGTTTTGTGCTTTCATGGACAAAGCATGCAAAGAGAATATGCACAGTGAAAATTTTCATATGTGTTTCATCTCATGTTCTTTTGAGAGGAGGGAAATCTTTCAGTTTTGTATTTTTCATGCACCAGTCCTTTCACTTTACACAAACAAGCCTTCCTCTT